ACTTTGTAGCACTAAAACCACACTTAATTAATGACTTCCTACACTACTGGGGACCAGTCTTACTGGTTCTACTGGAAAACCTAGATGTCCCACATTAAAACACAATAGCGCTGTGCCTTCATTTGCTTATACTGCACAGTGTATGTATGTAGATGTACAGCCATCTATTCATTTCTATTTTATATTCTGTGTCAGAAGTGAGAAATACTGGATTTAAAGGCAACAGGTCTCAAGGCACAGCATGTCCGATTTTTATTGGACTCTTTGTTAAAACTAATAGTGAGCTCTTTACGCTCATATCTATCACGAACAAGGGCATTTTACCATAGTAAATCTAGCATAAAAGGCTAAAGGATTGTTTGGTGAATGCTGCAGAACTTCAGTCAGTACTCACTGAAACAAAGTAAGGCCCAGCAAAGTCCCGGATGACTCCAGTGGAAGTGCAGATACCCATGTGACCAATGAAGGGAAACAGCCATCTGAGAGAAACAATAACAAACAAACAAACAAACAAACAAACAAACATGCAAAGTTACCATCACTACATTGAAGTACTATTTAAGAGGGCCTGACTGCAAAAGTTGAGATTAGACAAGCCAATACAAACACACAGTTTTGATTAGTGTATTATTTACTAGTAATATCACGGAAAATAAAGGCGATAGTATGAGTTTTAAAGCAACTGCGTTGTGATAGTCAAAGTTTCAGTAAGATATACTTTCGCAGAACTATAACACTGACTGATGACCCAAAGTCCTCAACGGCTGACTTTAAGCATATCACTTAACAGCTGGCATGTTTACCATTTTGTTTGCTTCGTATCGGTGATCCAAATATCTGCATATTTATATTTATACGTACAAACATCTTCAGTTTAAACCGTGCTCATTAAATGTAACCGTTCTTCGTGCACAGCTGTAACTTAGACATTTGTTAGCAGCGAAGATAATCTAATATAAATCGTTTTGGAAGAAGGGCAGCAACAGGAAGGTACTGTGCGTCTGCTAGCTAGCTAAGCTACTGCTGTCACCTCGTGCGATTTCTGGAGCATTTAGCCAAAAAGCGATAACTCACGATAACACGGGGATAGGTGTCCACACTATACAGTAAGGATAGCGACTGGCCTCCGGGTTAATTTTCTCCGAAGCTATGCGGTAATTCTTCATGCTCTCTTTTTCAACATCCGCCATCACCAGCTGTGGACTATGAACTTCATTTGTCCCACCGCGTCAAGCTACCCGGATACTCAGGGGAAAAAAATCTTACTGTCAAAATAAAACACTACATCTACTTTTAGTTTGGCAAACATCGTAAAGACGGCATCAGTATCAACAGATATTCTACATTCACCGACATTATCGCCACATCTGAGAAAAATAGAGACAGAATAAAAGCGCAAAGCACTTTTATAAAAGTTACATCGTTTACTTTGAAAGGTTCAACCAGAAGCGCCTTCTCTTATTTGATGAGACTTCACTATTCTGGCTTTACTATCCTGTTGGATTCGTGACAGCAGTTGTTTCCGGGATACTTGTATGCCTATGAGGAATCAGTCACCAGTGGGATACGTGTGTGTTTGCACACAAAGTAAGGAAAGTTGTCTTTGGTCGATTATTTGTTCTAACAATGCTTCTTGGCAA